CCTTGTGGTCATGTGATCAAATTTCAGCTGCTTGGCCATTGGCTCATATTGATGACAGTCTCAATGTCCCGGGGGTCATGTGATCACCTTTGGTGACCTTCAGACAAGTCAGATTCACTGTGTTATTAACTTAACAATTGCAGTGATTCTCATATAACAAGTGTGGCAAGAAAAGTAGCAAAATGGGGCACAATTCACTGAGCAGCCATCCCGCTTAGCAACAGAAATGCTGGTCTCAATTGTGATTGCAAGTTGAGGACTACTATATTGGACGGGGCAGGAAATAGTCAAGAACAAAGAAGAACGGGGTTAAGTTGTTTGGGGTAGGGTGGAAATTCTGATATCTTTAAAAATTATTTTTAAATCATCTGATTATGCCTATATATGTGTGTGTGTGTGTGTTTACTGCATAGATAGATAGATAGATAGATAGATAGATAGATAGATAGATAGACAGATATAGACATATAGATGAGAAAGAGAGAGAGAGAGACAGACATAGATAGACATACAAATAAATATATATTGATATGGAAATGGACATGGAGATAGATAGCTAAATAGACAGACAGACAGATGATAGATAGTATATTTAGTATTAAGTTTATTTAAATGGATTTAGTATTATTTATACACACACACACACACACACACACACACAGAGTATTGTATATTTGCTGCTGATATATATCAAGGCAGCAGATGTATTTAATACTCCTTCTACTTTCCTCCAACAACAACCCTGTGAGGTAAGTTGGAGTGAGACAGAGTGACTATCCCAAGTCACCCAGCTGGCTTTCATGCCTAAGGCAGGACTAGAACTTAGCTTTCATGACTCAAACTTACTAGAACTTATCTTTCATGGCTAAGGCAAGACAGGAACATTAAAACTTATGTTTTACTTAATTATGAAATCTCTTTAATTGTGGCCATTATTAGAAATCCTTGGGATGATCGGTAACCTTCCTTTTTTTTTTAAATATAGTTTATTAATTTTTACAATTAAAACCAGTCACAATACATACACAAATAAGCAAAAGAAAGAAAGAAAGAAAAGAAAGAAGAGAGAAGAGGAAGAGAGGGAAAGAATTTTAAGAAAAAAAAAGAAAGAAAGAGGTTACAGGATTAAAAGTATTCTTATTTTAACAGTTTGCAAGATCTTCTTTTGTTTTCATCACCTTAACTTGTGTCATATAACCACACCTGTTTTTAACTTATATCGTTACCTCGTTATTATGTATTGATACTTTTCTTTTATGCCTTATAATATATTATTTATCTTTGGTCAATCCAATTATACCAACAATTCCAGCTATCATAGTATAGTGAAGTGTCTTTGTTTTTTAGCGCCAAAGTCAATTTATCCATTTCTGCGCATTTTGAGATTTTTTCAATAATCATTTCTTCTGATGGAATTTGATGTTGTTTCCAGTGTTGAGCGAAGGCTAATCTGGCCGCTGTTAAAATGTGTATTGTTATGTATTTGTTTTTTTTGGAAATTTGCTTATCAAAAATCGCTAGTAGGAAGGACTCTGGTTTGTATTCGATCTGCTCTTTGGTGATTTCTTCCAACCAAGTTTTGATTTTCTTCCAATACTTTTGGGTTTCTGCACAAGACCACCACATATGGAAAAAGGTTCCTTCTTTTTTCCTACACTTCCAGCAATGCGGACTCATGTTGGGGTGCATCTTCGCTAACCTCGAAGGGGGGAGATGCCATCTATAAAACATTTTATAAAGATTTTCCTTGTATGCTGCCGATTTGGTAATCTTATTGTTTCTGCCCCAAACTTTCTCCCATTCCGCTAATGTGATGCTGCGCCCTACGTTCTTACTCCAAGCAATCATATTTCCTTTTACGATTTCTTCTTCTAGTTCTGTTTCTAATAAGTAGTTATAAAATTTTGTTATGTTTTTTTTATTTGATCCTAATAAAATTTTATCTAACTGTTGCAGTTTGTTATTAATTCCGAATTCTTTTTTGTCTTGTTTATATCTGCTTTGAATCTGAAGATAAACCCATTGATCAATTTTATGTCCTTGCTCTTGAAGATCCAGCCTCGGTTTCAAATTTCCTTGTGGGTCTAATAAGTCTTTGTATTTAATCATTTTGCTAAGCTCCAAATTGTTTGGGTGAATCATTGCCTCCATTGTTGAAATCCATACTGGTACTTTTGTATAATGTTTTTTCCTTATTTTCCTCCAAATTGTTAATAGTGCGTCTCTAATTAAATGTCTGTGGAAATATTTTTGACTGGTTTTCCCTATGTCCCATAGAAAGGCGTGCCACCCCCTTTGTAAATCATGGCCTTCTAGAAATAGTATTCTTTTATTGGTTAAATTCACCCAATCCTTCAACCAAACTAATGAGGTGGCCATATGGTATAACTCCCAGTTTGGAAATGCTAACCCTCCCCTGCTCTTCATATCCTGCATTGCTTTTACATTTATTCTGGGTTTTTTCCCTTGCCAAATAAATTTCAGGGTTGTTCTATTGAGTTCTTCAAAAAACTTTTTATGTAATTTAATTGGGATCGTTTCGAATAAATACAAAAATTTAGGGAGAATGTTCATTTTAATAGTAGCAATTCGGCCTAGTAGTGAAATTTGAAGTTTCCCCCACGATTCTAAATCTTTCTTTACCTGATGTATCAGTTTATCATAATTGTTTTCTTTAAGTGTCTTACAGTGTGGGGTTAGCCAAATTCCTAAGTATTTCACTTTCTTTGTCACTTGTATCTGCATTATTTCTTCTAGTTCTATTTTCTGTTTTTCTGTTAGGTTTTTGGTCATTAATTTGGTTTTTTTTTTGTTTATTTTAAGTCCCGCTACTGCTCCAAATTTCTCTAATTCACTCATCAATTTTGGTCCCCTGTCTTTTGGTTCTTCAAGGAAGAAAATCATGTCGTCCGCAAACGCTTGCAATTTATATTCCTCTTTCTTAACTGTTAATCCCTTTATATCTGAATTCCGCCTAATTCGTGTTAATAATGTCTCTAATGCTAATGGCCATTATTAGAAATCCTTGGGATGATCGGTAACCTTCCTATTGTACCTTATTGATCTAGTTTTGAACGATGCTGGCAATTCATTTTGCAAGTTGTGAGACTTTCATTGCAAACATTCATTCTGCAAACTGCAAAACTGTGCATCCCAGGCATAGAGCTTAACACCTTCTGATGATGTTTCTCATAGCCAGGGGTGTCACATTCGATTTCATTGAGAGCCGCATCAGGGTTGTGTTTGACCTTGTGTGTGTGTGTGTGTGTGGCCAGGGTGGGCATGGTTGACCACTCATGTTGGGGGGCACCTGTGGTGGCCAAGTGCTAAGGTGGGACTTACCTCAAGACCCTTGCACACTCTCATAATTTCCTTCCTTCCTTCCTTCCTTCCTTCCTTCCTTCCTTCCTTCCTTCCTTCCTTCCTTCCCTTCTTTTTCCTTCCCTCTTCATTCTCCTTTCTTCTTCCCTCCCTTCTTCCTTTATTTTTCCTTCCTTGCTCTCTTTCCATCTTTCCATTTTTGTCTTTCCGCTTTCCCTTTCTTCTTTCCTGTCCCTTCTTACATGCTCAAATGCAAAAGGGGACACATTTCTCCTTTTGTTTTTAGTTTTGCTAGTCCTCTGCCAGCAAAAACGGGCCCTGGACCCCCCGTGCATGGTCCAGATCTAAGCATCCTGTGGGCTAAATCTAGCTCCCGGGCCTTGAGTTTGACACCCCGCCTTAATACAAGCCAAGCTTTTCCCAATTTATTTATTTTGATAATATACCAATAAAGGAGAAATTTAGGTAATATCTACTGTATAAATTGCAGCGTGCATTTATTTTGACAAATAGATCCCTGCCCGAAACAGCTTGCAGTGTAAAACTAAAAACAAAGAAACAAAAATAGTCCAGCTTTGCAGCATTTACGAGTAATTGTTCCTTCTGAGTACACTCTGTGCCTTGTTAGCTGAGAAGAGATCCTTTCCCTGCGTGATTCATTCTTTAAACACTTTGTCCTTTGTGACTCTCAATGCAGTCCTTTCCTTCCTTATGTGTCAGCATTGTTCCTAAGATAGGGAACCAAATATTGGCTCTATGATACAGGTAAGCTTTAGCTACCCAGATCATTTACAAGCATCCTGTTTAGTTTTGAATAAATCTGGATTCCGGATTGATTGAGATCATCTAGAGAACAGGAAATAATGCATTAATTTTTAGTGGAAAGATGCAAATAGCCTTTATCTTCCAAAGATGCTTTTTTTTTTTTTTTTCAAAAGGCAACTGGATTTTCTTGGGTTTTTTTTTTCTTTGAAAAAATTTCACTTCTCATCCAAGGAGCTTCTTCAATTCTAACTCTATCTTTTCAAAGGACAAAAAAACCCGCCAAGAAAGTCCAGTTGGTTTTTGGAAAAAAACCATTGTTGGGACATCCATGATCTGGATGATTGAGAATCTCCATAAAAATTTAGCCTGTATCTTCATTAACCTTTCCTGCAGTAAACCTGCAAAGGTGATAGGGCAGAAGATAGTGCATATTTTTAAATGGGAGAATAAATTAAAAAAAATCAAAACAAATAAAGCCAAAATTAAAGCAAACGCTGAACAGCAAATGCAACAGGTCAGGCCTCCCCACCCCCCACCCCCAGTTCAAAACCAGGTGTGTGAAACAGGAAAAATTTAAATAATTTGAACTGTACAAAGCATTCCTTTCAGAGGTTTCAGTATAAATTTCCCATGGTTGTGGTTACAGTATGCTAAGATTAATGAAGAGTTAGAATTCATTGGAGGGATAAAGCAGATGAAATATTTTTGCATAGAGGAAGAGAGACTGGTAATTGTATGCATGTAGTCCTTGACTCACAGCCATACATTTACTGATCCTTCAGAGTTAAAATGGCACTAAAAAAGTGACTTACGACCAATCTTTGCACTTATGAGCCACTCTGGTGCAGTGGTTAGAGTGCAGTACTACAGTCTACTTCTTCTGACTGCTGCCTGCCTGCAATCAACAGAAGTAGCAGAATCGAATCCCATCAGGTTCCAGGTTGACTCAGTCTTCCGTCCTTCCGAGGTGGGTAAAATGAGGACTCAGATTGTCTGGGGCAAGAGGCTGACTCTGTAAACTGCTTAGAGAGGGTTGTAAAGTGGTATATTAGTCCAAGTGCTATTGTTATTGCTATCATGACCATTACAGCATCCTCATGGTCTAGATTTAGACACTTGGCAATTGACATGTGCCACTGGCCTACAATGATTGCAAACAACATTGTGATTGCTTCCCAACTGGTTTCCAAGAAATAAAGTCAACGCAGGAAGGTATGTTTGCTGAATGACCACATGGTTCACCTAACAACCAAGGCAAAAGTCATAAAATCAGGTGCGACTCACTTAAGAACCACCTGGCTTGGAAATGGAAATTCTGGTCCCAGCTGTGGATGTATGTCAAGGATTGCCTGTGTCTGGTACCAAAAACGAACAAACAAAACACCACCTCTGTATTTGTTTGATTGGCACTTCAGGCTGGCAATCTTAACAATCAGTAATACGACCTGATGGGACTTGCTTCCAAGCAGACTTGTAAAAGATAATTCTGTTCTTTCTAATGACTTCCTGAGAATTTTAGTTTCAGATAGCTTAGATAAGGAAAGAAAAGCTTAATAATGATTGCAGAGGTTACAGTTTATTGCAGCTGATGGGTCCTTAGATGAATGTCAAGGAACAAGTCACTTCTAATGCCAGCTGAAAAGTACAGCAGTAATAATTAGCTAGCTGCTGCAAGAGACAGGAAACCTTTTGGAATATACAAGATAGCGTCATAAAGCTGGAAGGGACCACAGAGTTTTTCTAGTTCAACCATCTGTTCAAAGCAGGAGACTTTATACCATCCCAGTCAAATGGTTATCTAGTCTATTTTTGGAAACCTTCAGTGATGGAGCAAGCACAACACTGGGAGCAAAGCTATTCCATTGTGCTGAAGATGTTACCTAGTTGGATAATAAAACATCTGCAAGAAACCAATGAAGCTCAGAGAACACCAAGGGCTGTACAACTTATTTAAACCCAGTTTAACAGATATAATTACAAGCACCCATAGGAGTTGCTGCAACAAATGATGTCATGTACATCCTGGTATCAATATGCAAAGGGTACAAATAATTTACTGAATTTGTATCATTTGCACAATGACATCATGGCACATGTGACAGGTCACTGTGGCAGCTTCCAAAGAGCTACAGTTTACATAGCATGCTATGTCCTCAAAACAAACCCTATTATGGCCTGGCCCAATGACTGGACTCACACAATATTCTGAACCATAAGCCCAGCCAAACATACTTTAATTTTATCTAAAAAACAGGTGTCCAACCTTGACAACTTTAAGACTTTCCTGGGTTTCAATCCCAAAATCCCCCCACCTGTATAGATGGCTGAGGGGTCTGGGAGTTGAAGTCCCCACATTTTAAAGTTGCTGAGGTTGGACACCCTAGCTTTAGAGTGGTGTTCAAGCATAATTGAAGAGCTTGGTCCTCTATAGGAGAGAAGTTATTCATAAGACAACATATGTGAGGGGAAAAAATCCTCTTTATCATCTCTCATTCAAGACCTTCTGAAGATCCCAAAGAGACTTCTCACAGAAGCCAAACAAATCCAATGTTCCCAGTTCCTGATCTTAAGATTCAAGACTCAGTAGAGTTATAATTTTCACTGTTATTCTCTGAAGAAACACTCCACTCATTCACACATTTGCAAAGCCACTTGTACTTATCCAACACATCATCTAGCTAACCAGAATAAGTAGCAGTTCCTGGAGAACTGAGGAAAGATGTTTGTGGTACACAGGATCCCATTCTATGTAACGGTTTCAAAGGACAACATTCCAAGAGTTAATATGGATTCTCTGATCAAATATTTGGAAGAGTTAGAGGTAAAAGGAAACCAGGCCATCAAAGAACATGGTGGCTGGACACCAGCCAGAGCATAGAACAACTCAATGAAGAAGTACAAGGCTAGAAGCTGTGGAGAGACTTGGCCCATAGAATTGCCCTGACTTGGACATGACTAAATGGATAACATCATATTACATTATCTCAATCAATTCATTAGAGCATGGTCAATTCCATCTTAAGATTTTCCCCCAAATTTTCCAGGTCCTTTTTCACCTCATCCTTTTCCCCTGGAAATTATCTGCAGTTCTAGAACCATGTTTTGTTACATCCTCTTCCCAAATTCCATGCTGGTAATCCTTCACACATAGCATAAACTGAAACCCTTTGGATGAAACCTTTCTTCCTTTGTGGCCTGCTTTGAGTAGGCTGCCTACACACCATCTTTTATACAACCCATCACTCTGTAGCATGAAGCTCCACATTAGCATTCTACGATGCCATTCTATAATGATTGGCATCAATACTAATGACAATGTACTGACATTAGCATTTTGATCCATGGTTCATTAATTACTGCAGTTATACATGGCTAACATATTGAAACAAGCCCATATGGTAACATCCTTTGCTGTGTTGATGCTCTCAGAGAGAAAAGAAACAAAGAGGTGCCACGTATCAGGGTGCATTGCAAACAGCCTCCCCAGAAAATCATTGGGTGTTTTCTTTTCTTTTTTAACCCTATGCTTCACACAATCCAACCAGGAAACCATAAAAGCCAATATCCCTTTTATGATATATAGTAACAGAATCTTGTTAATCTGAATGTCCTTCCCACCCTTATCTTCCCCAGAACCAGGGAAGGTCTTGTTTCAGACATGTTCTCTGGTTACATTCCTATCCCAGACTCAGGCCTCTTTTATCTGTTAATTACTTTATTTTATTTATTTATTTTTGTCAATTGTTTACAAGATAATAGATATAAGTAAAAACATAGTTATGAATACATGGATACATATAAGAAAAATAAAAAAATAAAAGAAACAATAGGACAGGGATGGCAGGCACATTGGTGCACTTATGCACGCCCCCTATAGACTTCTTAGGAAAGGGGTGAGGTCAATAGTAGACAGTCTAAGGTTAAAGTTTTTGGGGGTTTGGGGAAGAAACCACAGAGTCAGGTAGAGTATTCCAGACATTGACCACTGTTGCTGAAGTCGTATTTTCTGCAGTCAAGTTTGGTGCGATTAACTTTGAGTTTATATCTATTGTTTGCTCTTGTATTGCTATCGTTGAAGCTGAAGTATTCATTGACAGGTAGGACATTGCAATGTATGATTTTATATACTATACTTAGATCAGACCGAAGGCGGCATAGTTCTAGGTTTTCTAGGTCTAGAATTTCAAGTCTGGTGGCATAAGGTAACCTGCAACAAGTAGAGGAGTAGAGAACTCTTCTTGTGAAATATTTCTGGACTTTCTCAACTGTGTTAATTTCAGTTACATAATGTGGGTTCCAGACTGATGAACTGTATTCGAGTACTGGTGTAGCAAATGTTTTGTATGCAGTAGTTATTAGTGTAATATTTCCAGAGAAAAAGGTATGTATGATTAGGTTAACAACTCTTAACGCCTTTTTGGCTATGTAGTTACAGTGGGCTCTAGCAATTAGATCATTAGAGATGAGTACTCCAAGATCCTTGACAGAGTTTGGATCATCAACAAGGTCTTGACTATTCAGCCTGTATTTTATTTTCTGATTTTTTTTGCCAATATGTAGGACAGAGCATTTATTTGTTGAGATTTGAAGTTGCCATTTGTTTGACCATTCTGATACATAGTCAAGGTCTTTTTGGAGGGTAGCAGTATTGTCTGTGGTGTTGAATAGCATTACATCTTCAGTGAAGAGAACGCAGTTGCTCTTGATATGATCACAGCGGTCATTTATGTAGAGTATGAAAAGAGTTGGTCCTAGAACACTGCCTTGGGGGGACACCACTGTTGACAGGTACAGAATTTGATAGGATGCTCCCAATTTTGACCATTTGTTGTCTGTTTGACAGGAATGCTTCTATCCAGTTATTCAGGTGTCCAGAGATACCATAAGATTTTAGTTTTAGGAGTAGTTTGTCGTGTACCACTGAATCAAAGGCTTTACAGAAGTCTATGTAGATTGTGTCTATTGCCTTGCCCTGATCGAGTAGTGTAGTCCATATGTTTTTGCAGTGTAATAGTTGCAGATTACATGATAATTTTTTCCTGAAACCAAATTGTTTATTAGAGAGTAGGTTGTTTGTTTCTAAGTGGAGAATGATGGATTGGTTAATAATTGATTCCATGACTTTACAGGTGACGCAGCATAAGGAGATTGGTCTGTAATTTTCAACTAGGCTGGGGTCTCCCTTTTTGAAGATGGGGATGACCGTGGCTTGTGACCATAGCTTTGGCAAGGAGCTGGTCCTGAAAGATTTTTCAAAGATTATGCTTAGAGGTTCTGCTATGGCAGTGGATAGCTTTTTTAAGAAGTAGGCACATATTCCATCTGGTCCAATAGATAGAGATGGTTTTAGATTGTGTAGTACTTTTTCAACATTGTCTTCTGTAAAATTGATATGTATTAGATCATTGTAGTTTTCTGTGGTTTGACTAGGAAATACTGGACATGATCCATTGCTGTTTACAAATACTGAACCAAATAATGTGTTAAAGAGGTTGGCTTTAATAGTGTCGGCATTGCAGTCTTTACCATTAGGTCCTATCAGGGGTGGGATGGACCTTGAGTCTTTTAGTTTGTTGTTTACAAAATTGTAGAAAACACGGGTGGAATTGGTGCATAGAAGGTTTTCCTCTTGTTTAATGTGATAATTGATGCATTCAGTTTTTATCTGGTGGCATAAATTTTTGTATCGGCTTTTGAAGTTGGCAACATGACCAGATTTGTTTTTCCACCAAAGTGATTTCTTTTTGGATTGAAGCTTCCTTATTGTTATGGGTAATTTGTTTTTTTTTTTTTCTGGTTTTGGGAGTTGTTATTGGTACATGTAGTTTGATGACTCTTTTGACTTCAAGTAAAAAAACGTTGTAATGGTCTTCTACAGTATTGCATCCAGAGAATAGATTATATATAATAGAATAGAAAATACTTGGTAGTGACTCCTCTCCTGTCTGTCAAGGCCATTCCCTGTACCCTTCATATTTGCTCATATGGTTCTTCTGACCTTTACCTATTACTGGAGGAACAGATTTCTGATGACTGTTCCCACAGCATCCAAGGAGATCTAAAAGAAGGTCTTCAAAGAACCTTGGCTGACATTGTCTCAGAAGATCAGCAGAACAGTTTTGCTGTCCAGTGGAGATAGCTTTGCCCAAAAGGGACAAGAATGTTTCTTAGGGGTTCTTGCTGTTCTCTGAGCTTGGTTGTTTTCTTGCAGATGTTTTATTACCCAGACTAGGTGACATCATCAGTGCTAGTAGGGGAATTGGGTTTGTTCTCTACTTTCTACTAGCACTGATGATGCTTCTAGGGAATAAATATAAAACTAAACTGGGGGAAACATCTTTCTTCAATCTTGTTTTTAGTAAGATGGTGCATACTAGGTTACCAGCCTTAGCTGTACCTGTGCCAAAAGAAAATTCCCTCCCTGAAATAGGGACATCACTGGTCAGTTTTAACCCATGTTGGTTGCTTTGCTACAACAGCATGACAGATTTGGAAGGGACCTTGGAGGTCTTTTAATCCAACCCTAAAGGCAGGAAACCCTATACCATTTCAGACAAATCGTTGTCCAATCTCTTCTTAGAAACTTCCAGAGTTGGAGCATATACAACTTCTGGAGGTAAATCATTCCACTGATGAATGGTTCTAACTGTCAGGAAATTTGTCCTTAGTTCTAAGTGGTTCTCTCCTTAATTAAGTTCCATCCATTGCTTCTTGTCCTGCCTTCAGGTGCTTTGGAAAATAGGTTGACCCTCTTCCTCTCTTCTTTATGACAACCCCACATGATAAGAACAACCAAAACAAGAGTAACCAAAACTCAATTTGACCCCAAGCATGGCTACACTATTCCATGCAAATGAGGATCATTGCTCCAGGGAATGACCTGTCAGCTGATATATTGTTTTCAGCATCCCATTAACTAGGAGATCTATGTGGCACAATGACACACACAGAGGAGGCTCTTAATAGGCAGCATGAGAATTGGTGTCTGTATGTGTTAGAAGTAGGGAGGACTCACAATTGTAGCTTCCGTGGCTGGGGGAATGAAGAGTCAAAATTGACGAGATGGTGAACAGAGTGTTGTTCTGTCTCCATTGATCATGCAGGTCAACACGCAGGCATGTACAGAAACGCCGGGCTTTCCTTGTGATGTTGTGTCTGCCTTCTTGCTCACTTTTAACCACCCCACCCCTTTTTGCAAAGATAGAGCAAAATGGAGAAGCATATGAAGAGGGTTAAATTTTGCTTCATTTTCTTTTTTTCTTGCTTCATGCTGTTAATTTCTTTGGCTTATTACTTCTTTTTTCTTCCTTCTCTGTGCTCTGCATAATGTTGTTTATCCCAAAAGAGACTAGTGGTGTGTGTGTGTGTGTGTGTATGTATATATTCTTGCATCTTCCTTCCAAATAAAGATTCAAGATAATACACAATGCATTAAGAATGTTTTATAATATATGGGGGGGGGGGCGTGATTTAAAGATGCTAACCTTCTTTTGAAGATGATCCAGACATAAGCACTCCTCCCAGATTCTCTGCTCTGCCAGCTCTTTCCCATAGACTTGCTATCAGTTTGTGTGCGTGTGGGAGCACGAGCGAGTAAGAGAGCGAGAGTTATGAGAAAAATACATCAACAACGATGACTATAAACATTCAGGCCAATTCTTCAGTGACCTAAGACTGAAGTGATTATTAAGAAGACATCAGGTGACCAACTCGGATTAGCTCCCCTGTAAGTACTGTCTTCACATATCACCTTGATCTCAGTTTGCCTAGCTGGGTTCAGCCAGTATGCTAAGCCATACACCATAATGGACTCACCACAATGGCTGCTTCACACTGAATAAAGAATAACAGAGTGGGAAGGGTCCTTGGAGGTCTTCTTGGCCAACCCCCTGCTCAAACAGGAAACCCTACACCTATTTCAGATGAGTGTTTGTCCAATCTCTTCTTAAAAACCTTAAATGTTGGAGCACCCATAATTTCTGGAGACAAGTCATCCTACCAATTAATTGTTATAAGTGTCAGGAAATTTCTCCTTAATTCTAGGTTCTCTCCTTGGTTGGTTTCCATCCATTGCTTCTTGTCATGCCTTCAGGTGTTTTAGATAATTGGTTGATTCCCCCCTGTTCTTTGTGGCAGCCCGTTAGATATCGGAACGTTGCTATCCTGTCACCTCCAGTCCTTCTTTTCAGACCTGCCCAATTCCTGCAACCATTCTTTATATGTTTTAGCCTCCACCCCACTAATTCTCTTTCTTGCTCTTCCCTGTGCTTTTTCTAGAGTCTCAACAGCTTTTTAAATATTGTGTCAACCCAAACTGGATGCAATATTCCACGTGTGGTCTTACCAAGGCATTATAAAGTGGTATCAAATGCAAATAAATTGCATTATAACCCAAAGTGTTGTGCATTGACCTTTGTTGACCACTGTTTGCAAAATCCGAAGATGTCCCTGGCAGAGGCATGGTACAGGCTGTCAAAATCTCAAAATAAGATCTGCAGCTGCACAATTAAAAGCCAACTTTTCTTTCACAGATATCATAACCTCCATCTTAATTTATTTTGATGTTCTCTGCAACTCCAGCGATGGAGAAGACAATTTCTAAGCCCCCAATGTGGAGAAACCTGTTGGGATAAAACCAGGCAGTCTGGTCTAGGTGACATTTTTCAAATTCTTTCCAGCACCATGTTTTTTCCCCTTTTAATTAATAAAGCTCTACATGACCAAGATTGAGAATCCAATTGTCTGTGTCTCCATGTCGAAATCTTAACTGGTCCAGGTCTTAAATGGCAGGCAAGCTGCAGCCTTAAGCGAGTTCATCTGCTGAAGACAGTAATTACCCATTTTCTGTCTAAATGAGAATGGGCGGCAACTGCTGATCCCAGCTGAAATATCTGGAAAGAGTTTGCAGTAACCCATAGCAACTGTGGCAGCATGTGGCAAATATATCTCAAGAATGCATTCCAAGGTACTTTTTACACCCTGTTCTGGTGTGTCACTAGCAAAATATAAGCCTAACGGTTGAGCAATGACAGTGGTGGACAACGGTAGTGTTGACAAGCATGTGAGGCTGTTTCATGTTGCCAGCTGCTGTTCGGTGCCTGCCAGTCTCTCAATGATTGATTTTAAAACCTGGGATGGTGTACTTAAGACTATAGCGAATCCAACCTGGATGGAAATGAGCAACTACAAGTACTGACTGGTGGGAAGCCTAGTGATTCACCTGTTCAAATATGCAAGGTTGGTTAGCAAGGAATTGTGTGTGAATGCAGGGAAGATTTAGATTTATTAAGAGTTCAGCTGGAAATCCTTCCACCCAATCCAGAAGGATTTCATTCTTTATACAATCCTGCATGATTCACTGCCAACTTTAGAAAAGACAGTTCTTGGCCCGACAAAGAATTGGTGCCTTCCCCCTTGTCTGAGATAGGCATAGGAAATAAAGTAGAAAAATGAGATTATCTGGCATTGTTGGTATAGAGGTAGCCTTCGACTTAAGACCACAATTGACTCCAAAATTGCTTTTGCTAAGCAAAAAAAAGTTGCTGAGTGAGTTTTGCTCCATTTTATGAGCTTTCTTGCCACAGTTGTACAGTGAATCACTGCAATTGTTTATTAGTAACAACTTTGCGAAGTGAATCTGTCTTCCCCATTGACTTTGCTTGTCAGAAAATTACACCAATGAACCTGAAATACTACTGCATCCATCGTAAATATGAGTCAGTTGCCAAGCATCCAAATTTGGATAATGTGATCACAGGGATGCTGCAATGGTTATAAGTGTGAAAAGTAGTCATAAGTCACTTTTTTCAGGGCTGTTGTAATTATGAATGATCACTAAATGAATGGCTGTAAGTCAAAGTCTACCTGTATTTTAAAATATTGAGTAAAGGAAATTCGGCTAAGGGGCAGAAATGCATTGGAAAAAGAGGCTGTGATTATATCCAAATGTCACTGTCAATCAGCCATCTTGGAGCTGATGATCAACGTGATAGATGAGTCTAAACCATGGATTGCTTAATCTTTATAAACCCCCATTGGCTCAGTTCATCCAGGTTGGATTTACCTTTAACCCAGCTGCAGTACAAAAAGGAACATGGATGAGGATGGAGAAACTTGAGGATTCTGAGGCCAAGTTTGCCAATGAAAGAGAATATTGTAGCGCAGGGTTGAACTGCAGGGTCCTTGGTGCCATCTGAACTTCACCCAGTTCCTTGCAGATATTTCATTATCCAACTAGGTAACATCATCAGCACTAGAAGTTCTCTATTTAATATATGAATGGCTTGCTCTGTCAGTGTTGGTGGTGTATTCTTGGTGGATCCTTGATTATACTGTTGTTTACTATTAGCTTATTTGTATGAGTTGGGAATTCTTTGATTGGGTGTTGTTTATAGCTTGCTTTTAGTCTAGAATTAGTCTAGAATTAATCTTGGTGGGTATTGCTGCTTATCTGGGTGTTGACTGCTGGTGAGGAGGTGTTTGAATCTTTTTGTTCCTTTTTTGGCTTTTTGATTGTGTCTTTGGAATGGTATGCAGAAGTTGTTTATCCCTATGTGTCTGTTGATGGCTAATTTATCAGAATTGCCAGGCAGTTTGTTTTTCCCACAGAGAGTAAGTAAATATTTGGAAACAGGAGAAGATGGAAGAAGCCAAACTATCTTTTCCTGTAAAGGTAAATGAATGTGGAAAAATGCACAAGTTGGAATATTCAACTATATTTTGAGAACGGGGCAAACTATCATATTGGAAACTGAGATCAAACTGGAACATTTTAAATAAGTGATTTTGCAATGATTATTTAAAGGATTTATTCTGACTTTAACAAAATGTTGCTGTCTTATCTCACAACAGTAGCAATATAATTAACACAAGTATGTTTGAATAACCTGGTATGGTTCTAATATTTACCTGGTATAATATGTATTATATTAACACAAGTGTGTTTGAATAACCTGGTATGGACCAGATTTGCTTCTGTTTTGGCTACTTTCAAGAAAACTGATTGCTTTCATCATTGGTGGAAAGGTTATTTGACACTAAACTCACATCATATTTGTATCAAAAATTAAAGAAGGTTTTCAAAGTTGATATTAATGATATTTACAGTTTGTGAATTGAAAAACATCTGAAGCATCAATGGCAGAGGTGGTATTCAGCAGGTTCTGACCAGTTCTGGAGAACTGATAGCGGAAATTTTGAGTAGTTTGGAGAACTGGCAAATACCACCCTTGACTGGCCATGCCCCATCTATTCTCTACCTCCAAAGTCCCAGCTGATTGGCTGGGTCTTCTTTTGTTGCCCTGCAGAGGAGAATGGAGCTGGAAAGCAGGTTAGTGGGATGGGGAGGGAATAGGGAGGGAATGGGGATTTCACAGTAACCTTCCCCCAGGAGGGAGAAGGGAATTGAGATTTTTCAGTATCCTTCCCCTGCCACACCAAGCCACACTCAACAAGCCACACCATGCCCACTAAGCCATGGCCACAGAACCGGTAGTAAAAAAAAAATGAATCCCACCACTGTTCCACAGCCATAAAAATGTTGAAATTGTTCTAATGGATTTAAGATTAAAGTTAATTTAAAATATTTTAAGCCATAAAACATCCAATCTGGGTTGGTCACTGGGACCACATTCTTCTGAGTGTTCAGAGTCGTGCTAGAGCCCATCGTCAGGTAATTTCTCTCTAGTACAGTGTGTATGGTTTGGGCTATGCTGTGGATGGTATTCATATGGTGCCTATTGTGTGTGGCCTTTTAGATGTTGATTGGGGTGTTGATGGCTGGCTATTAAGTTGTTGGGTGTGGTTTCCTTGTGCTGCCAAGCCCTCACTTCCTAAGTACTTGATAAGCTGGGGATAAATCAACCTTCCTGTCGACTGTCGTGGGGTGCATTTCCCAGGCTTCAATCAGTTCCCTGGCTATTTTTGTGCCTGCTCGTTCAACAATCTTAGTAGCTGTAAAATTGAATGTATGTCCTTGTTTATTGCAACGTAAGACTACACCTCACAGAATGCATTTGAAAGGATGGACATCAAATTTTATTTGCTGGTGACAAAAGAATATTAGAGGTCATTGATTCACAGGATTTGGTTCTGTGAGTCACAGAAATCAGTTTGGAATTTTATTTTAATCTGCATAAATAGATTTATGGGGAAATCTTTTTAGTGTTATAGATATTAATGTTATGTTAAACCATGTCCCTAAATTTTGGAATCTGACTATTCTTGAAGAGTTATGACTATATTGGTTCTGGGATATAACTAAAAGAATTATTTTGAGAAGCTGGAAAAGTACTATTATTCTTCATATTAAGGCTTGGATTCAAGAAATGTGTAATTTATGTGTTTTGAAAAGGCATTTTTATCTACTTATAAAAAAATTGATGCAATATGTTTCCCTTTGGCACAGATTTCCTGACATTTTCTTACAATAGAACATTATAATTCATTCTTTTTAATTAAGGGTTAGAAACTTTTAAATATCGTTTAAAATTT